AAACTTTTAAACAGCGGAGAACTGATCCAGTCGAGAGATTAAGTTAGATAGGTTTTAGTTTATTGGCCTGAAAGAGTTTACTACTATCTAAATACTTTAATTGTATACTTTCATACAAGACAATGTTAGAACAAAAAACACAAATATATAGAATACAGCCAGTTATAACTTTGTTAATTGAAATATGTAAATTATCATACGTCAGAGTTATAAGAATCGAGATAAAATTAATGCCGTCATCTTTAAAAAAAAACAAAATAAAAAAATAACGATTACTATTGTTTAACAAAGTCTCGTAATCAATATTTTCAGTACCAGCATCGAAATAATTTGGAGCCATACAAATATTTTTGTCAAATAATTAATCAATATTTCAAATATACCTACGACGAAATTACAAAACAATAGATTATAATTAAATCAAACATAAGGAAACCTTACACAATTTAGCTTGATTAATTAAATACATATTAAAATCATATTCTAAAAATTTACACGTTCATTTAAAAAAAAGGTTACATTAAACACAATCTTATTCATTCACCATCCTCAATCTATTCACTCATAATCGGTTAATACTCACTTGTTTTATGCATTCATTCACTTGGAGTCACTTGTGGTCACTTGTGGTCATCAGTGCTAGTTTGTGGTCACTTAAGGTCACGTATGGTCACTTCCTAGAGTTGATTGCATTCGGCCTGGTATACGGATGCATCTGGACTCGCTCCCTTGCACGAACTGCTTTAAATCCAACTGATTTTTCAGTGACAGTCGCCTTTCTTGACCCGTCTGTTAGTTTGTTAATAGGACAAACACAAACATTTAGTGTTAGCTTACATATAACACGTTATATGCCATAAATATATAGAAAATAGAGACCCGACCATGCTACACTTATCAAGTAACGTAACCCACGGGATAACCATTTGATGTACAGGAATAAGAAGGTCTAAGGTACGACAGTTAGAATTTAATTTTTGATAATACAACGATGATAAGATGATGATCATTCTCAGAGTTTATTTACTCTCTGAAAAAGATCGTTATCTCGATATACTGAAAACGAATAATATTTTATGAATGCGAAGTTTTTTCTCTTTCTTTTACCCGGAAACAGCAAATGGAATATTAAAACATGTATTTCTCTGATAATATTTTCTATTATTTATAGCATATTATACACACAGAACTATCACATCGTCTGTATCATGCATGATATTAATTTAAACTGAAATCAATATAATTAATATCGGTGAACATGTCAAAACCAATGTCGGGGAACACGAGGGAGTAGTGCGGTTAACGTATTAAGAAACTTAGCTAATATAGCGATTAGTAACGTATTAATATATAAATGTATGTGTGTATGTACATAATACGTTACACTGAGAGCGTTAGATCGACGGCGCGTCTATGACAATTAATTACTACTAAAAAGGTATATTGATTTGAAAATAACTTTTAGTGCTTATTTCATTATCTTAGAGTTTAAACATACATATATACGTATGACCAATAAGGTATGTGTAACAGGCAATACTCTTTTCTAATTAAAACTACAGCTTTTGACTGACAAAAAAAGTAAAAAGTACTTTTGACAAAAGAATTTGGTTAAAAGTAGTTTTGACTAGAGATTATTGGTCAATATCACTTTTGACTGATATTGACCAATACAAAGAGGCTTCAAGTCAAAGGCCTCGAGTCAAAATCACTTTTATTAAATAAAAAGTACCCTATCTAACCTAACGTTTAATAATTTCCTTGATAATATTAGCGTAAGTCTTTGAATTTTTATTCTTTAATCAACTTAACTCGTTAACTTTTTAAGAGTTTTCACCGATACGACAGTCAAATCTTTAAACGGCTATTGACGGTCAAAACTATTTTTGTCAGTGAAAAGTAATTTTGACCACGTGAGAGTTCTGACTGTAACATAATATTGTAAACATACAATTTTTTAATGTTAAAATAACATTATGTATATTTTACGTATATTTTATTTAAATAATCATTTATTTAAAACAGCAAACTAGCCTTAATTGGAATTTACTATATAAATAATAAAGGTTTAAATAATTTTTAGGTTATACTTTTCTATCATTAAAATTATTGCCGTTTTGAAACATAAATAGCTCCGAATACGAGCTGAATTTTCCCCACGGGACTTTATTACGTGCGACGAGAAACCAGATTACGCGGACACTTATGACCTAACATTTACGTAAAAATTAAATTGTACTTTTAATTTTTAAAGTTAAAAATCGATAAGCATCGATTAAAATTGTAATTCGTTATTTGTGGAACGATGTCCCTTATCATACTCGTATATTACTCGACACACTTGGCGAATTATAGACGGAAAAAAAGTGTAATATTTCGACCGTCACGACACTTATTATTTACTAAGACCACCTCTATGTAAGTACCAGGCGAACATAAGTGTTGAGGAGTGTATGTTGTAAGAAATTCGTGTGCACTCTGTGCAGGTATTTCTCCGATGCGCTTCAACGTGTACAACGTACGTTAGTTGATGTTTATGATACAAATATAAATTTTAAGACCTAATCAGATTAGGATCATACCTAATCAGATAGCGAAAGAAACTTCGTTCCTACCGGGTATCCCACGACCTTTCAACTTTTTTTTCATTTTCTCCCTTAATTTTAACGCGCACTACTCCCAAGCCCAACACACGTCTTGTTAGTCAAATATTGCCTTGCATGTATAAAACATTTCATACAACTCTGTTCCAAATCATCAAAATAAGATATTTATTGACTTCTTTACTAAATATATTATTTTTTTGTTCATATATTCTAGTGTATATTATTACAATTTTTAAAAGTCAAGTGCTAAAGTATCGCACAAATATAACACAGACTACTGTCGCACGTAGCAAGTGCTATCTCTTAAATTTTCATAGCATTCGACTTGGAAACAAATAGTTGCTGGGACAAAACGTTTTAAAACGAGCACGAAGGCTTATTTAGTAAAAATTCTAAATAAATTGATATAAACATCAAGTCTGTTAATATTGTAATTAATATATATTTACTAGACATCGTACTAATATAATCGTTTCAGTGCTTTTGTAATAAAACTAATCTAATACTTGAACACAACTCAATTTAACGTTTGATATATAATACTTTTCCACTCCAATGTGAAATTTAAATAAACTTAATATAACCCATACATATAATAAAATTGTAACTAAGCCAAATCTGTACAATAAATATTTTTTGGAAAATCTTATTGAAATAAATATTATTATCGATACAGATGCCGAATCTATGGTTTTTGGAATTTTTGTCTGTCTGTGACCGCATGACGGAAAAACCACTGGACGGATTTTGATGACATTTGGTATGATGATAGCTGGTTATCCGGGTCCAACATATAGGATATTTTTTACTGCGGGAAAATATCTCATCTCTGAGAAATCTATACTAACGTTAAAAAGTAAGTAGGGACGAACCCGAGCAGCGAGGGTGAATCGCTAGTATTGTATTAAATTAAGAATTGTTCATAAAGAAATTGATAAGTTTTAGTAATAACAGTTGACTAGTTAAATTTAATTTAATAATAATAGAAAATTATTCTTTCTTTGAAATACGAGCGACGAATACTAAGTCCTATTGTAATTGTGACGCTTTTCATGTATATTTTTATAGACTTTATTTTTGAATGGACGTTTCGAACACTTTTCAATTATTCGCGATCGGACCGTGACTGGCGAGATAAATGTGTTACAAATACTTTTTTATACATGCAAAACAAAAATCAAATAAAAATCCTACACGATATAACAGATAATAAATCACTTTATGGACACTCACGGATATATTGCACTTAACCAAAATTAGTATACCAGCCCTATTAGCATCAATAAGACATTTCTTTGCTACTTTAAATATTATAAAGTCATTCTAGCTGTCATATCTGTATTTTCGAAATGTCTAACAATAAGTTCAAATTATAACGAATTTTTGAATTAAAACTTCTTCAGGCGTGACCGAAACGTAAACCAATAAATTGGAAAAATAATAATTATTAATAATTGATTATTAATTATTAATAATTGAAAAAAAAGATTATATTTTTATAATAATTATTATTTATAAAAATAAATATTTATTATTAATAATTTTATATTCATTATTACTTATAAAAATAAATATTTATTACTAATAATTTTATAAAAAATATCATATTTATATTTAATTGCGGTATCTGCCACGGCGCCGAAGAGGTTTTACTTCAACCGCGCGTAAAGGTTACACGTAATCATTTTTATTTTTAATGTAATGCTACATTTAATAATCCTAAACTCTACTTGTTAAAACTTATAAAATATACACACGACTTACTAGAATAACGATATTATTTTAAAAATACAGAGGTAACGATTAATAGCAGATATTAATTCACGTATTAAAACTAAATTAATAAATTGTTAGTCTACACCTTTATTTATTCTAATTTTTTTCATGTGATCGTGATAAAGGGGAAAGTCGAAGCGATCCTTCCAACATTATATGCATTTCTTTCCAGAGTTCAATTCAAAAGCAATAATTGTCTAATCTACAAAAACTAGAAAATTTCCTTGAGTAAAAAAATCCGCTATTCACTATAACTTCGAATTTCGCTATCCACGATAATTTGAAAAATGATTAGTTAAACTTGTGACACGCTGTGATGGTCACGGGGAAATATCCAAAAGGTTAGTTTTATTTTAAATGCACAATGCTACTTTCTTCACACTTATGCAAATATTTGACATTTTCATTTTTTTTAACATACATATTTTCATTTTTAATACGCGACGTTTCAAATTTAATTTTTCGCGGATTTACTTTGGTTTTTAATCCAAAAGTCGAAAAGATAGTTTTATTTAAAATATCAAATATTTTCGTAAGTATAGTTCAATTTAAACTTAACAATGTTAACAATGCTACCAACGTTAACAATATTAACAACTTTAACAATGCTGACTCTTAACTCTTACCTTGTACGTTCCGCTGCAGCGGCGTGCCGTCGCGCGCGAGGCTGGAGCCGAAGCCGGGCGCGCGCGGCGCGGGCGCGCGGCGGAACGGCACCGCTCTGCCTACCACCGGCTTTACTATTTTCGCTATATAAATAAAAATATTATGAAGTTGTTATTATATGTATTAACTATTGCTTCCCAATACAAACTCTTTCATTCCCATTTTCACACCCTTAAGGTATGATTTCCGGAATAAAAAATATTCTATTTCCTTCCCAGGGTCTCAAACTATCTTCTTACTTAATTTCATCTCAATCGGTTCAGTAGATCCAGAGATTACAACGTCACAAACTCACAAACCTTACCTCTTTATAATATAAGTATAGAAAACTCATGGATCAATGTAATAATAATTTGGACTACTATTGTCTATTACATATGTGAAAGTTTACATGTTTGTTACTCTCTCACACAAAAACGACCGGATGGATGATATTCATTGGATAGTGGAACTTTTCAATATCCTCAAGTTTGGGCTCGTTTGATTCGTTTTAAATATTAGTATATAACAGTCAGTGAAGAGCTCGTAGTTTTTTTTTTAAATATAAAATAACACAAATCACAATCCATGTCTTACAGCAAAATAAATCCCACGCATCTAGCAGCTAAAATAGGCTAACAGTTTCTTAATATAAAGTTAGAAATACCGATCATTCATTAAATTGTCCTTCGACAGTATTTAATTAACAAAATTCATCTAGAAACAAGGTACATTTATCGTAGTTAGTTCAATATAAGTTTGAAAGCAATCTATGAAATTTCTTAGAATATTGAGAAGCGGAGTTTAGATCTTTAATAAATTTCCACCCACTCGTGTAACTAGACTACTTAAAGAAAAAGCAAAATAATAAACTAATCATTAACTAGTGACAGCCTACGGCTTTGCCTGAATTAAATAATATGTTTAATGAGCATAATAACCAAGCATGGACACTGTTTATAAAGAAGCATCTCAATTTGTATAATTTTGGACTATTTAAGAATTCAAATAAAACTTGTTATTGTTCTATTACGAGTAAATACACAGAAAATGTAATATTTGATTTTTTATAAAATACTAAAGAATAAGTGTTGTATTCAGCCCTTTTTAGCGTCCTACTGCTGGGCACAAGCCTCCCTTCAGGACGAGGGGATCAGGCCATAGACCACCACGATGGCCGAGTGGGGGTTGGCGGACTTCACATGTCTTTCGAAAACTTGCTAGGTTTTCTCAAACATGGAGGTTTTCCATCACCGTAAGGCAAGTGGTAATCAAGTAAGAAATGATTCGCACATGAAAATATCAGAGGTGCGACACCCGGGATTAGAACCCGCTTCACTCGATTTTCCAAGCGAGCGCGTTACCACTGTGCTACCACTGCCTACTAAACAATAGCTTTAAAAAGAATTTCTTAGAATATTTTCCAATGTCCAACAAAAAATACAAACAATTTTGGTCCTGTTAACATTTTATTGTAATACATAAAGGGCCATCCCTATTGTCTTTACGAGTACAAGGTTTATAATTTTTACATAGAAATAAATACATTGTATTAAAAAAGGGTTTACCAAGAAGAAACGCCCGTTACGAACGGACATTGTTAAAATATTTTTAATGATTTACAAGTTTCCGTTGGAAATTTCCGTGAAAAATTACTATGCTTCTATACAAACTATAATTTCCTATTTAACCCTTTAGTGCTAACCTTTTTTATATGAAGAACTCTTGTGCTATGTGCAATGTTTTTAAAACCTTAAAACTATCGATATTTACGTATGATATCTATGTACTCATCCCTTTTTTTAACGTCCCACTACTGGGCACGGGCCTCCCTTAAATACGAGGCCAGGCCATAGTCCACCACGCTGGCCAAATTTGGGCAGGCAAACTTAAAATGACTTTCGAAAACTTGCTAGGTTTTCTCAGGCATGCAGGTATCCTCACGATGATCCCCTTCACCGTAAGACAAGTGGTAATCATGTTGGAAATGATTCGCACATGTATTATTATATACGAGAGGTGCGAGACCCGGGATTTGAACCCACTTCACTTGGTTTTTTAAAACGAGTGCGTTACTACTACCACCATTGCTTATCAACTAACGATATGGCAGTGAAAAATAGATTAGATAGAAGTAGAAAAATGTCGGACAACTAAGCATTCTTCACATCGATGATGAGAAAGTATTTTTACAGGTGTTTTTATTTTACGAGGCAATAGACGTTGTTTTATTGCATACCTAGATATTTTTATGGACTGGAGAGTGGCAGTCTATTTATCCCAGTACATTAAGTGATTTCTATGGCATTCATATCTCAGACCCTACGCACACGACAATTTTTTAGATGCCCTTTATAAACTGTGTATTTCTTAAACGTGCTGACGATAACCGTATTATGATCGTGAATTATGATAAACATAATAAAAAAAATCGCTCAAGTGCGAGTCGGACTCGCACACGAAGGGTTCTGTATCATAATCATATTTCTTTTAATTCGCGTGGCAGCCTTTTTAAAATTCACCATCTTGGTTTTTTAATATTTGTTGTTATAGCGCAATAACAAAAGGAAAAATAATCGACTATCAAAGAAAAAATGTATTTATATTATAGGTCAATGGGAAGTTAAAAAATTGTTGCGAAAAAATTTTTTGTAAAAAGCCGACTTTCGTGGCATTTAAATTCCTTTATTTCCCAATATTTGTAAAATAAATAATACAGTATTTATCTACTCGAAGAAATCTAAATAACCCCATTCAATGGGGTAATGTCACAATATTCAATGGTAAAGGGGTAAAGTCAAAATGGCGTCCCCCTTTAACTATATGGGAGCCTCCCATAAGAACATTTAAAAATATTTTTTGACAATTTATATGGCTTTAGGTCAACAAGATGCTTACTTATACTGTGAAAGTTTGAAGATTGTAGCTCTAACCGTTTGGCTGTCAAACCTGGGCGTCCAAACGAACGCCGACGAACGCAAACGAGCGTCGATCACATGTTCGTGGAACGTAGTACAGTGCATTAAAAAATCGACTTGAGCATAGGCCTTTACAAAAAGTTACTAAGTCACGAGGTACGTTGACACTAAATCATAATTATAAAACAAACATATGTACATACATAAATATTTTTTCTTTCTTTTTTGTAATTACATTTTTGCTGTTGTTTCTTCTATTCTGACTGCTCATTAACGTATGTTATGTACATATTATTTTAAACTTTATTGGCATATCCATCGTTTGTGCTTTCTGTAAATATTTTAAAATACTGTTTGTTTCCCAAAAATAAATAAGTAAATAAATAAATACATACCTTTATTATCATTGAAGTTAACTGTCCTCGGCATGATATTAGTCCTATCGACCAAACCCTTCTTAACCGGCTGCACTTCTGCCTTAACTTCAGCTTTAACGGGCATATTTTTCCACGCATCAATCTTTCCCGCCAAAACAAACGTAGAATTCAAGTCCTTAGGATCTATTGCGTAGTTTTCAATGTCCAATGTCGCATCTTCTCTCTTAATTTTCTTTGCAGAATTCAAATTTCTGGTCGTATCCAGACTTTCAAGGGAGTCATTTATCACTATAGTTTCGTTATTCATTAACTTTATAGGCGTTCCTTTGCGTTTCTTTGTTAATATTGGTTTATTTTCAATATCTGTCAAATCGTCACTATCAGTCACTGTATCGTTTACTGTAGAATTGATATCCTCCTTTCTAATATCTGTACTATAGTCCAGTGTAGTCGTCGGTTTGTCTAAATCAAGCGTTGATACAAATTTGAAATGAGCATCGCTTTCCTTATCTTTATCCGACCAGGAGATTCCTTTTGCGGATTTCGCTTTCTTCATAATTTCCAAATATTCCGCTGTGAGGGCCGGTGGTGCCTTATCGTAGCCTTTTAGGGTTAAATATAATTTTTTCAACATATTCGGCATATCACTCATATACTCTGTAAACGCCATTATTTCTTCATTTTCTATTGTTAACAATTTGTATCTTAACTCATCTCTGGCCTTAATATGGCGTATTTCGCTTTGCATTTGTATTTTTTCTATGAAATCTATTAGGTCCGGACAATCAGAGACGGCTTGATTGAATAGAATGTGTAGCTTTTTACGACTCTCATCCCATTTGGTCCAAGCGTTCATTATCTTAGTGTCGAGGTTGACGGACTGTTTGAAGTAGCTTTCGGCTGCACGCTCTTGCCGTGGTATCTCTTCTGTACACACCTGTTGGACAAATTGTATTGTATTAGTTTTTAAATTTAAATAAAAATGGTAATGTTTTAAATAAGAGAAATTCTCTCCCGAGGCCATGTTTGCTTTTAAAGCATTCGAAACGTCGGGAACCTAAAATTAAAATAAATACGCGAAAAAATCCAAAAAGATTATATATTACAAGCGAATATTTGACGTTTTTAATACAGTTGTATTTAAAGCTTTTAATATTCGCATAAGACTAAGGAAGAGTACAATGCTAATGTTATAGAAGATAATATTAAATAAAAATAAATAATGAAATTCTATTATCATTTTACATTTTAAATAAAACAACACATTTCATATCCCATGGGTTTCCTCCATTAATAATTCTAAACTTAAAATTTAAAAATTACAAAACTTAATAAAATATTTAAGTATCGTTGATATGTTGACTGTTCAATAGCATTAGATTTTTTCCATATTAAAAAAATAAATAAAATCCTTTCAGCACCGAGATGTGCGACGAATAAGCGAAGAAGAATTTTCATACATTTAACTGTAATAATATTAAGTCTTGGGAAATGCATTTACGCGTACCACCTGTATACATACAGGCAGTTATGTGGGACTCACCGGCTTAAGAGAATCCAGGAAGTACTACGTACTAAAACCAACATTGTTTTTACCTACTAAATACACATTGGGGGGGGAACCAGATAACTCGTATCGCAATCCGATTTCGAACACTTTTATGCATTGAATATTAAAAATGGATGATACTTCCTATCTGACGGAAAACTAATTCGTACGACCACGATCATACGTTTAAGTTCGATACAAATTCCTGCCCATAGTGCGCGCGGCCTTAGTAACCAACCTGTTCCATAGCTAATATATAAAAAAAATGCCCGTTAAACGTTCAGTAAATAATAAGTCAGTGTCGGACGACGTCAATCAACAAGTCTTAAGTACCGCTAGTTCTAAGCAAATATAAAATGTATATTCACCAAAAGTAAAAATATTATTAATGTGTAAGTAAGGTAGCATTTTTATATATTGAGCGTTTTAATGGGAAATAATATATTTGATTAATTTATAGAGTATAAGGTATTTACTTGTATGACCTTGGCCGATAGGAATGTGTTTTAAAAAAATAAAAAAAGGGCGCGGATATTCATTTGTTTTCCCGCGCTTTTGCACAGAGATGTCGGTACCACCCCTGTAGTGACTAGTCACGAATTGTTTGTAATACTGAAAATTATGGTTATAAATTATGTAACTCACTGACAATTGTAAAAGTACTGAATATAAGAATATAAGCAAGGAATATCTCGAAGTTTTATTAGTGATCCCACAAATGTAATAAAAAAGGGCACAGGCAATTGAAGCCTGTGGATGTAGTTTTCATTTAAAAAGAAATAAAAACCTGTTCCATAGCGTCGGATGAGGAGCGGTGCGCGAGGTCGGCCACGTGGCTGAGGGCGCGCGCGCGCAGCCGCTGGCGCAGCGCCAGCACGCGCTGCTGCGACATCAGCGCCAGCACGCGCGCCTCCACCGCGGCGTGCTGCCGGTCTTCCTCCTGGAGGCGTGTGCGCCATTGTTGTTTTACTGGAAAATATGTGTGAATTATACATATAAACAAAATAAAAATTTATTGTATAATAACAATATTTTATTATGTTTTTTTTTCCGACGAATTGAGAACCTCCTCCTTTTTGGGAATCAGTTAAAAGTTGCTACACTCTCGTAGATTGTAATACGATGTAAGATAACCTATTATATACTTTCTAAATAAACAGACTATAAAAAGCAAAAAGATTTTTTCAAAGCAGACGAATAAGTCCAAAGATTATGAATGTTCAAACAAACACGCCAACTTTAAATATAGAAAATAATAAGTCTATGAAGCTTTATACTAAGGTATGCTGTTGTACTATATCACTTGTAGCGAAAATGAATATTGAAAAATTAGTGAATTCGGAAAAACTAGTCTTTTTGTATGAACTCAAAAATAAAATACTTTGAAATTTGAACAGGGCAATATGGACCGGTCCACACTATAGTGCCGATCAAAGTCCGTTCTCGGTCCGATATCGGTCTGGTAATGTTATTTTATACAAGAAACGTTGCTGGAGTGTGATTCGATCGGAACGTGAATCTTACTGATAATGTGAATGTTTCTTGTATAACAATACTTTACCAAACCGATATCGGACCGAGAGCGAACCGTAATCGGCACAAAATGTTTGGACAATTATAAATTACATATTATGATGTAACATTCTTAACCCTTAAATAAACCACAAATAAAAAAGAAAGTTATTATGAAAAAAAAACTAAACATTACTATCTTTTTATCATTTATTTTAGTCACAGATTTTTTTTAAATCTCATACTAAACAACATAACATTATAATAATAAATAAATAAATATGTTGGGACATGAACACACAGCTCCATCTAGTTCCATGGTAAGCTATGAGGCTTGTGTTATAGATACCAGATAGTTGATACACTACACATATATAACTTTAAATGCATACATATTATAAATATAAACATCCATGACTGGAGTACAAACATTCGTGCTCATCACACAAATGAATGCCCCCAGCGGGACTCGAACCCGCGACCGCTGGCACAGCAAGTAGGGTCACTACAAACTGAGCCACACGCCTCGTCAATTATTACATACCTTTCCCTTTTTCCATATCTGACTCCTTATTAACTGACTTGAATGTAGATAGAGATAGTTTGGCTTCCAATTCCTTGACCTTCTTTTTCAGTTCCTCATTTATCTTTACATATTGAGACAGCCTCATATCTCCATCAACAATGTTCTTTTTAATGCTGAGCTGAATTTTGTTGGCCCTTGCGGCATATTTCAATGTGTTATATGTATCTTCATAGCTAATACTAGACGGTGATACATTTGCAATCATTACTGTTTTGCAATTTCCACCGAGGCTGTCTTTGAGGAGGCGGGTTAGTTTTGAATCCCTGTAAAAAAGCCAACTTATTATCTATATTCTCCTTAACCTCCAGGTAAATTTCTAAGAAATTAATTAAAATTCTAAGAAATCTATTGTTAACTGACACGCCGACGTGTCCGCGGCCGTGGAGTGATTAAGTATTTATTACCATATACTATTCTAATAATTAAGTAAAATGATATAAAACTCCACCTCAAAATCCATGAAGCTACAGAGCACTCTGTAATATTATACATACATAGTACTTACATACATACATAAACAGTAAACACATTACACTTCTTCTAGGGTAGTTGGTTAATAAATAATTCATAATAATACTATATGAATCACCTTTCGCGTGAATAAACATCTAGTAACCAGTAACTTAACATTTGCATTCTTTTGCTTAATCACAGAAACATTTTTTTTAAAGTTGTTAATTCAATTATTCATATTGATATTTCAGAAATACACTTACAGTTTGTCAAAAATCTACCACAATTCAGAAAAATTACAATGAAATTTCATCAATCCAAATTAAAAATAGATTTCAAATTAAGTTACTCAACATACCTATCTCGAGTGTATATCAAATTTATGAAAAATCCAATTTTTAAAAAGAAATTTTATATTTTAGGCGAAATTACAACATTTAAGCCAAATTATAAGTCAAGAACAACTGTAATAAATTCTATGGAGATGTGTTAATAGCACTACAAGCTCCAGGGTTAAGTATGTTTCATTTCAATATGACGTCAAAAGACGAGTTAGTAAATCAAAATGTATGGTAAAATAGTGGGTACATGGTGAAGTGTGAGGTGTTCTTTACTAAAATATACCCTGATTTTTCATTCGTGCTTTTTTTCCATACTTTTTATAATATTATAAAAGTGAAAGTGTGTTTGTTTCTTTCACGTCAAAACAGAGTGACGGTTTGACGTGAATTTTTGCGCGGAGATAGTCAGAGGGCTGGAGATTGATATAGGCGACTTTTTAAAAAGGGAGATTTTCTCATTCCCACGGGAAAACACGTTATATTATATGTATAATGTATATAATATATGCCATTCTAAGCATTAAAACATACTTATAAACTAAATCAACCCTCCACGACCGCGGACACGCCGGCGTTGCAGTTAATAATAGATTTCTTAGAAATTCAATTAATTTCTTAGAAATTTACCTGGACGTGGTAAAAAATAATTTTAAACCCACAATCCAAAACCAGAAGATTAAATATGTTTATAAACTTTAAGTCAAGGTTTTATTTGGTATCAAACTTAATGTAATATTATCAATTTTAAAACCTGTTATAGAACCATATCATCACATAAATTTAAGTATATCGCCATTAAAACATGTTTACTTAAATAAGTAATGAATTTCTTTCACTTCGTTTTAAATTTTCTAAAAAAAAATCTTAAACCTACTATGAAATAGTTGATAATAATTCACTAACCTGTATGGTATATAACTACTTCCATCTGCCAATTTATTTATACAATTTCCGAGAGATAGCAGGCTTTTGTTTATGTTGGCGCCTTCTTTGAATCTGTCGCCCACACAGCCAGTGGCGGATGCACGTTCACTCCCTGCCAAGTCTATCATCGATAGCTTTACAAGTCGTAGCTGGCTGCTGGTCTTATATCGCATTTTGACATACACCTGCAAAATATTGAATATGTAAGTTCACAATAATAATATAGTTATATAAACTTATTCTTCCTCACATTCACATCTTTATATATATAATTCTTCTGTGAGTGTGTATGTCACTGAACTTCTCTCAAACGACTGGACCGATTTTGATGAAATTTTTTGTGTGTGTTCAAGGGGATCTGGGAATGGTTTAGATTCACAATTTGAATAATAATTTTCATTAAAATGGTCCAGAAGGTTTTAGCTTATTAAAAAAAGTTTGAAATTTTCAAATTAAAGACGTGTAGACAGGACAACGTCTGTCGAGTCCGCTAGTACCAATATAATACAATAAATATACATACTAATATTATAAATGTGAAAGTTTGTGAGTATGGTTGTTTGTTACTATTTCATGCCAGAACGGCTGAATAGATCTGGACGAAATTTGGCACAGAGATATATTATAGTCTGGAATAGCATATAGGTTACTTTTTGACCTGGAAAAATGTACGGTTCTCATGAGATAAATTTTTTTGTCTTGGGATAAACCTGATGCAAAGCAAGGGTCAGTCTATGATATTTATTAGAAATGATTCATAGTAATATAATGATTTAGTTTGTTGTCTGTGAGCTAGAAAAAAGTAAGTTACCAGTCACCACAAAGTTACAAAGTAAAACACAAGGAACCTCGGCACCACATCCAACATAATAATATATAAAACATAAGAAACACCTTAAATATTAGTAACTTGATGCTTATAAAGTTTGAAAAATATATTTTTGGCGAAAGAAAAATATCAGCACTGAAGATAAAATTAGAGAACATATCAATCAGTAAGGAATAAAAATTAAGATAATGGAAAAACTTTTCAACTAACTGTAGTTTGCTGCATTTTTGTTTTAGCTTTTAAAAAAGTCTACATACATTTGTACACATAGTTATTGCAAACATAGATTTTATATGTACAGTGAGGATTCTAATTATTATTGAATAATCATAAATTATTAAAACTTTGGTTCTCATTTACCTGAAAAACAGCATGGCTCCTAGAACTTTCAGCATTAGCATCTGTAGGATGCTGTGTCCTATTCTTATTACCATTTTCCAGCATGTTAAGCAATTCTCTAGCCGTCTTAATGTTATTGAGGGTGAGCCCAGCTACCATCACACCATATTTTGAATCCTCTCGTAGTTGTAAAGGAGTATTAGAAGGTTTGAGTAAATCATATACATTTTCATTATATACCTAAATATCAAAAAACTCTAATAAAACATTTATATAGTTATAAAATGTAGGATTCCAATGTCAATGAACTCTTTAGTTATTTATTAAACTTATAAACTAATCACCTTTGCCTAAGTTTATAAATAAAAGTATAATATTAGAATGATTTACCTCAATATAGGAGACTCCAATATCAAATTCTCTTTCCTTTTCAAAAGCATTAATAGTGTAAAATAAGTGTTCCATGGTCAAGTAAGTGATGCCAGGGTTTTCCTTGCTGCCAATCATAGTAAAAGTTTTGCCTGCACCAGTCGCCCCGTATACGAACACTGAACAATTGTAGCCTTCCATCAAGTAAGTCAACATGTCCTTCGTAGTAGTCTCAAATACATCTTGATTAGAAGCATCACGGCCACAGACATGATCAAAAACAAACTTTAACTCCTTGTTAGCGCGTTTTAGAAAATTTTTATTCGGTTGCTGCACGCCTTGATAGAAGAATGGCCTCATTTCCTCTTTGGGGTCGAACACTAACATTCTATCATCAACAACATCAACCACCACACGATTGTTTTGCTCTATCTCTTTCTCGTTCAAGGGTCGCACCCTTACGACTACTTTTATATTCGCAGCCATATTTTGTGTCGATCCACATTTAGAAGGTGCTAAGGCCTTCGGCCCGCTAAAGCCAGGGCCTTTATCAACTTTTACCATTTTAAGTTACAACTTGGCACATCGAAGAAAATAATAGTTAAATTCACGTTCACAAAAAGATATAACGCAAATATTCTTTCGTATTCATATATATTTTCACTTTGAACATGTAAGTTAATAACAGCTAATATCCCACAATATCGTTTGAATTTTGAATTGTATTTGTGTAACCGTCAAATATTTGAACTGACAGACGCTATCGGAACCGAACGCGCGTCACACACAATTAAACGTTCAGGAATTTGAAACAAACGATTTAAAATTGGTATGATTTAAATTTAAAGTAGTGTATTGTTTTTCCTAAAAGTAATAAACAAACTTCTTATAACATTTTGGTTTATAATAAACCTTTCTTAAAAGGATTATATAAATCTTACCTAAATAATATATTTCCTAAATAGCTCCATAATCTACGAGCTTTACCATGAAAGAGCTACTTCACTAAAATAACACAAAAATGAAACAAACAACATTAAGTCATGAAATCGCGATTGTTAAACATATACTTACATTAATTTTACATTTATTCTAATTTAAAGTATAATAAATAAAATTTTACTGACGCTAATTGTTTATTAGACATACCTGTAATTATTATATTTGTTATTTATTACATACGACTCACACTCACTTTGCTCAGGTTCATCCCTATTCCCTAGGTACTTTTTGACACAGTATGGAATAGATATTATTATTATTATTTTCGTGAATTTTTCCGATTTTTTAATAGTTATTCTTCTATTTAAGGTGAAAACAAATCAAAAGAACAATACAAAAAAAGAACATGAAAAACGGTCCAGCAGTTCTCGAGTTACAAGTGTTGTAACAAACCGACTTTGTTTTCTATAATAAATAGATTGAATAATGTTGAAGTCATGAAGACAAATGCGTTGAATGTAACAATAAATAATCAAATAGGTACCTACTGATCTTAGGAAAGCCTAAAGCAAATAGTTATTTACATAAACATTTCTTATAGCCAAAGGCAAGATTTACTTATCCGACTTATCCTCATAGAAAATTAACGTTTATTTATATACAGCGTGGCCAGGACGACGTCTTTATTGCGACGACATCGTTGTATAAGAAACAAATACAATTTCCCCTTAATTTCCGCCGCCGATCTTATCTGGACATAACGAGAGCCTTAGCATTCAGTCGGGACTCTTAGTAAAACTTGAGAGAAACCGGAATTTCATTGAGCCTCTATTGTGAATATTACAAGCGTATTGAGCAGACTTCGAATGTGAAAAACATGTGAATAAAAATATTAAATTATTGATATTAATAATATTTTTCTAATAGTTTATTAGTAATCCACATACGTTTATTTTATACTAGCGGCTCACTCTCGCTTCGCACGGTTTCACCTCTAGGAAAACAAAAACAAACCTATCCCACAAAATCTGTACATTTTTCAGGGTAAAAAGTAGCCTGTGTGTTATTCCAGACTATAATCTATCTCTGTGCCAAATTTCATCCAGATCTATTCAGCCTTTCTGGCTTGGAAGAGTAACAAACATCCATACTTACTCACAAACTTTCATATTTATAATATTAATAATATAATACGGATACATAAATAAAGATCTTTAATGTAATAATGAATGTGACTGTCATAAAAAATCTTTTGAGACTGAACGTAAAAGATACTCGTACCATTGACTATTATATAATACTGATCATATTAAAACTATCTATTATATATTTATCACCGTTACCTAATAACAACTTCGTCAATCAAAATGAAGTGTGGCTTAATGCCTATATCTGTAATTAGCGAAGAATCGATAAACCAACAAATGATTTTGTGTAAAAATATGAGCCCGTCAAACGATTACGAATTTACTCATCACCAACCAGTGGCGGCCTTAGGGGGTGGCGAGCAGGGCAATCGCCCGGGGCCTCGCGCTTTTAGGGACCTCGCGCCTTCGCACAACAACCCAAGTGTATTAGAATCTCGTGCCTTACGCCGTGTATTAAAAATCCCACAACGTGCAAGTACAAGCACATATCACATATCTTTCAATAAACCTTTATTAATATTAAATCTTGCACTATTAAGTATAAGTAATAATAGTAAAGTAAGTGAATTAGTAAAAAAACTGTGTAAAAGTGCTTGTAATTTTTTTATTAATTTTATGTGCAAAAAAGATTTTCAAACTGAGTTTGGCCGATTGTGATGCCAGTAGAAATAATTAGTTCGATAGTTCAAAAAGGCAACAAGCTATCAAAAGAAAGTATTTAGAGAATATCTTTATGTGTATTTGTATAAATATATAAAAGACAATGGTGAAGAAGCTTCTAAGTCCATGATACTCTTTAGTGACTGAAAGTGACATGTTATTGCCTTATAACCCTAACCCAGTTGAAATATTTTTTTCAACAACAACAGTGAGTAAGCAACATCATTATTACTCCACCGCCGCCGCCGTCATCAACACTATCTTGCCAAAAATACGTATCTAAATCTATGTCTACATCCAGTGGCGGCATTGAAAATCTGAATCCTTGAAATGACCCAAATTTATCGCCATCAATAATTACTGATGCATACCGAACTAAGATTTCATTGAAAAGTCTAATCCGTTCTAAGACAGAATTTCTTTCAAAGCGGCCAATCTCATTGAGTCTAGCCAACTGCGCAGGAGATATTATAGTCCACAAGTGTACGCGCAGACACAAGTGCACTCTCTATTCCTGTCACTCTCATACTCGGTGGGACGACTCGACACGACCAGTGAGAGTTAAGGCGCAGGACCGACGGCTTTACGTGCTCTCTGAGGCACGGGGGTGAAACACCGCCAACTTCTCAACTCCGAGCTCTTACTGAGACTTACTATACAGAAAGACTCATTCATTGAATAGGTATCATTACAATAAAATATTAGCTAATGGCGAAAAACTAGACAGGCACTGGATGATTTATTCACAAACAAAATATGCCATTTACTGCATTCTCTGTCGATTGTTCAGAATAGAATATAAAAAATTAGGTCCTGTGCAGAAGTTTTCAATTGGGAAAACTTGGATAAATATTTAAACTTTCATTAATCTAGTCGACTGCAAAAAGATCGTATGTTAAAATGGTCAAATTTAGAGAACGGGTGTGAACGAATGGTTAAATTTAGAGACTGGCTTAAAAAAGCTGTACATCTATTGACTCTTTAGCCCATAGTCTTTGGCCCTCCAGAGTGGAGCGCAAGAGCCAAGAGCTTGAAAGAGTAGAAATACTCCATAGAAATGGTTAGTTGATACATTTTTATTGTTATTTGTAATTACAAGCATATACCCATATTTAATTAAAAATATTTAAATTTATACGCCAGTTGGTACACATATTTTTTTTTATTTAAATCATTTATTAGATACAAGTTTTTTTCATTTTATAATATTTCTCTCATTCACTTAGAATATTGAACATTCAAACTATTGATAAAAGTTCTAAATCGACTAGCTTTTTTAAAAATATTTCAGCACTCAAATAATTTAATGCCCATACGTTCAGTCTGGCTCCAAACTCTCTTCTAGATTTATTTTAACCCGTGAAATATATTATAATGACCTTACAGACAATGCACTGGAAGTGGTAGAAGATGCAAATCTTATTTCCTCGTTTTAAGGGTTTTGTATCCAAACAGTTGGTTTATTATGTCGTCTTTCAATCCAGCAAGAATCCAAACAATTATGTATAAAAAAATAAAGGGCGTACTACACAAAAAAGGCGCTCTTTTTCTTTTGTTTTAATACTAAATTACTAATTAACATACAATTGAGTCATATTTGCGTGATTACATATAGTAGCAACCCTACAGTAAAATAACAATAATATTCTGTATTTAAAATATTCCGGACAAGTGCGAGTCGGACTCGCCTACAGAGGGTTCCGTACAAATTTGTAGGAAATCTATTTAACTTTAATTTTCAACTTCTTTTATTATTTGGAACTTTCCGATTTTTGGATTTTTTCTAAAATCCGATTCTAACGGATTGAGCTTGTCAAATCAAACAGAGTCCAAACTCAAAGTATCTACTATTAACCGTTGAAGAGTTCCACCTAGACACCTTCTGGCCTTACCATCAGAACAGGTCGACGATATCAAACCACTGCACTATCAAAGGAAATAGAAACACTTGCAAAGTTTCAAGTCAATATGACAATTCGAGCAATTTAAATTCATCATTAGCTATTTTTTCGCCTTTAGGGGTGGTATATTTCTTTGAAATTATAATGGGACGAATCTGGAAGTATACACTTTCAAACAAAACAAAAATTGTTCAAATCTGTTAATAAATGACGGAGTTCTGAGGTAACAAACATAAAAAAATACAGCCGAATCGAGAACCTCCTCCTCTTTGAGAAAATCGGTAGAAAAACAATTTTATTACATTTTTTTTAAATTGACGATTGATGCCATTTCCATTTCTCTATTCTAAGATAATGACACAGGCGTGAAAAAAATCTTTAAAACAACTGCGGCGGAATAACAAACCGAGGAACAATGGAGCTGCGTTGATGTTTGCGGGAATCATAAAAACACCATTACAACGCCGTTAACTGATCCCCAGGGCGGAGATAAATAAGAGAGAAATACTAGAATACTTACGACAGCCGACAGGTGACTCGTTATTTTGGAATCGGTTTTATATGTGTTATACTTGCTCACAGCTTTGCTTGATTGTGAAAGTAACACTAGCTATGTTATGTTGTTTCAGTTGCTTTAGCCGCGAATATCTTTATTTTTCGTCCTTTTTACCTATACTTTATAAAATATTAGTTTACAATGTTTGTTACACACATAATATAACATGCCTACCTACAATAACGACGTCAAGCAGATAAAATAGGTTGTAGTCTTACATTTTTAAATAGACTTAACTTTGATTCTCAACAAATTGAATTATTAGGCATAGAAGGGCCTTCTCATAACAATCCAAGTGAAACTAGACCTCCACGTCTCTGGAGCTAGTCGTGGACCGACAACACAAATATATATATA